GCAGTCGGCCATCTTTGATCTGGTGACCAAATTATTGTTTATTTATATGGACAAATGTAGGCGCGGCCATGGCGTACTGCTATGTGTATACACTTCAAAGTTAATTGCTAAAAGCACATGTATATAATATATGTCTGGAATACAATTTGATTTGAAATTAATTGTAACCACATGCCAAAATACTTGATTTTGGAGTTGTTTTACCTAAAAAATGGCTGCAGCTTTGAATCAATCACGAATTCTTCACGTGCTCATGTATCAAACTACAGTAGGTGTAAACTGTATGTGCACGATTTAAAGAGAATCTGTCAACTGGAAGGTATGTCTGTGATGCAGCTCTGTACGCAGGGGCGCAATGTACGCATGGAGATAAGCTGAACAAGACAAAAAACTGAAAAAGTATAATGCCAATACTCAACATTAGAATTCACAAGATCATTTACAATTCCGGCAAATAAAAGGGAACAAATCCAACACAGTACAACACAGTCAATTCAGGCACCTCCTGAAAACCAACTAAGGTATTTTGGAAAAAATTAGCACATCTTACCCGCGCTGTTGCACCCGCCACGTACCTCCCTTACACAAAACCGCTTATTAACTAGTTGGGAATCGCTTCAAACAACCACACAAATACAAAACCTCTTTGAGTAATGAATCATCTAACAACATAGACTTGCTTGGAATTCTTGAAAAATAAATATAAATTGCGTAAACGAGGGGTGAAACCGAAATCCCAACAGACAGTGTAAGTGCCCTCACATTACTGGCCAGATTCGGGCTTGTAATATCAAATTACTACAACATGTGAACATGTGATAGGCCACACCGACTTAATTTTATGGATGACATACGCGCGAGCATTAGTTTTCGCCTGTTCTCAAAAAAAAAAAAAAAAAAAATCTCCGACGACGAGTCTCCACAGATAAGTTTTCTGTCCGGAACTTGCCGACTCATATTATCGCAAAGCGCCGACTTGCGCCAGTATGGACACAGACAGAGCTTGGACTACAACCAGACACTTCGGTTGGAGTGCAAATGAGCGATTAACTCCGTTTATTTCTCAACGGGAAAACAGAACCAACATGGCGGGGAAAACACAACACGAGAACAGAGCATGCGTAGCAAAATGTAAAGCGAACACAAGAGGGCGTTAACATGATCGTAAATACAATAAACACACATAGTGGCGTAACCACTTATTGTCTTTAACTTACACCATTTTTGAAAAGTCTAAAGAAAACGCATGAGGAAAAATGACTCGCTACATGATAACACAAAATTGTTGTTAGAAAGACACACAAAAATAATCTAACTGAATACAGAATTAAAAGTCCGTGACATAGTCTTTTAGATGTTCCGGAAGCCGGCGGTTACGGCTTGATTGTTTATGTTGAACGAGCTGCATGACTATTGGAGTATCGTCAGCCAGGGATGTTGGTGTTGGGTCTCCAGGAGTCAACATTATTGGGTCGACTGAGCCAATACTTTGCGACTCAGTTTCTAAAGGAGTGTCAGTGCAACCAGTTGCCGGTGTTAGATCAGAAGGTATACTTGGTGGTATTGGTGGATGTGTTGGAGATAGTGGAGTTTCGTCTTCGTCAGGAAGATATGACATAGGATTTTGATCGGTGTCTTTCGGAGAAGATACAATATAACATTCCGACTCTTTGACACGGTTTGATGTTTGCCTGAGTTGACTACCACGGAACTTGCGGATGTTGCGCCATTGGCCATCGATACCAGTCACTAAGTAGCGATCACGGGCACTAGACTTATTGCGGTCACAGTGCAGATAGACGAGGTCCCCAACTTCAAGTTTGGGTGCACTGGTGGTTTTTACTGTAGGAGCTTTTGATTTCTCGCTGACTTTATGGTTAGCCAAACGTTTCGTGTGTTGGTCTAAAATAAGTTTACAGTCGCTAATAGGAAGCTGATAATTGGTAAATTGGGTCCACATTTCACGTGCCGATAAGCCACTTGAACGTATGCGAGAGTTAACATGAGTGATTGCTATGGAGAGGGAGAGTAGCGTAATAGTTCGCACAGTGGATCCTGACGGAGTATCTCATCCTCAACTTCCTGTATTGCTCTATGTGCGACAGGGTTTTTGTTGCGATTCTTGATGCGGCCGACCTCAATATTCAGACGGATATTTTCGAAGAAGCTGTCTTTAGATAGGGCTACAAAACCTGGAGCTGGTTCTGTCCGTATAAGTTTGGGTGGACCATCAAGGGGCTCAGGTCAATGCAAAGTCGCAGTAGGGCATTGCGCAATGTTTCACTGCGTTCGTCTTCTATGAGGCATGCTGTGGTGTATGACGTGACGCATTGTCTGACGACCAGGACTAATTGTCTTTCACGTTTAATTACATCTGCTGCAAATAAACTGCCCACAGATTCTGGTGGATCTGAAGTTGATTGCTTAACAATTGTGTGAGGTACTTTGTTAAGTGAGGCACACTGGTGACAAGAGGTGGATGCGTGTTGGATTGCTTTGTCCATGT